AATAGAGATTGCCAAAAGTGGATCGAAGAGTCTTCATCCCCTCATCCAAAATGTCTTGGAGACTCTGAATCCATCCATTTCTGGATCTCTTTTGAGGCCAACAAAAAACCTCAGACTGTGGACCACGACTGCTGCTGGCTGCAGGATTTACTACTCCCCGCCCCATCTGCCACCTTCATCTCCGAGTCTTCACCCACCCCACACACATAAACAAAAATAACGAAACGATTACGATAAACAAAATGTAACTAAATCGGAAAACAAGAAAAAATAGTGCCTGGAAGATGTCGTAGCCCTTTCCCGGCAACAGTTTGATGGACTTATCGCCCACCGCGGAGCCCATGTGGAAGGCGGCATAGACCTCGTGCCGCGTACGTTCGCCGGGCGAGCGGTTCTGACCCCGTGGCGTGTTTGGACCTTTCGCTTTGTTAGGTTGAGTTGAGAGGTCCAAAAGCACGGGGTCAAAAAAAGTATGAAACAGTGTCCATTATAATATGTCTTGCAGGCATTTTGATGTCTTGTTGTCACTTTTTCTGTCTTTTTCGGGATCGCTCTGCTCTTGGTGGGCCAGCTGCATCGCTTTGTTCTATACTTGGACAAGCCTGGCTGCTCATTGTCTTTCAAGGCTGTTGGTGAGGCCCCCAACTCTTTGCAGAAATGCTACTTGTGGCACACAACACACACTTGTGAGAGCGCTTGCGTGTGTATTGCGCCAACACAAGAATTGCCAGCAATGTCAGCACAGAAGCAGAAAAGCTTTTCATGGCCTTCACAAGTATCCGGATCGAAGTCCAAGACTCGCTAAAGACTCATAAGTGCAAGAGTTGCACCAAGTAGGCGGGGAAAAAAACCCATCAGTGACGAATCCACATAAGCCTGACCTGCTGTTCTGACTTGCTCCACAAATTCCTCCGATATTGTGCTCTGTATTTACCTCGCTACTGGCTGCATCACTTGAAATTTTAGAGGTTTGAAAGGGGTCCTTAAGCTATTCACTTCTTTTGGGCCTGCAAGACACATGCGTTGATCAAAAGAGATTGCCGCAACAAAGCACCATGCGATACAATGTGAAAGTCTCGAGACTCGATTGAAACGTAGAGGCTTCTGACAATCGCATGTGATTACGACATTCACTGACTGGATGTCGATGCGGTTAGACAATGTCCAGAGTGAATGGTCAAGGGGCACGCTTGCGAACATCTCGAATCAGCACCGAGAGCATTCAACCCGTGGCAGTATTCATGGTGGAACGTGGGGTCTCCTCATTCTTCACTTCAACATACATGCATGGAGTACCTCCACAAAATGTAACATTACATTCTTACGTCCCCCTGTAAACAAAGTGTAAAAAAATAAGGTACTGTAACACCTTTTGGTTAAAACAAAAACATACGAAGAGGTTGTACAATCGAAACGACAAAATGAAAAACCTTATTCACCAAGAGTCCACGCTAAGGAGCTACCGATGAAAGCACTTCGGTGTTCAAGCCCTTCTGTGAATCGGAAGCCCGCTTTTCTGGCTCTTCCAGGGTCCGACAAAACACGTCGACTGGCCGTCCGCCAGACTGTTCATGGCCGGTTGGTTCATCCAAGGGGGGTTCGGTCCCAAACAGCTTCTACAGAACCCCAGGATCGGCATGAAGGAAGGGGAGCGGTCGCTGAAACCAAAGCCCTACTAACACTGCTCTGGCGCCATCCGTTCTCAGATTTGTTGAAGTAAGTAGTCATGAGTCATGAAATGATAAACCCCCAAGCAAGCGGTCCATCAGCCACACCGAAGCCGCCTTTAAGGTGTTTGCGTTTCCGAGACCATCCATGCACGGAATAAAATAGTTATCCCGGTATACCCCCAAAAGGTAGTTTCCTGTACTTTGTTTTGTTAAATGTCTTTGGACTTTAAGGGTGCCTACATTACGGTCATACTTGGGATGTATATAAATGTATGTATGTGTGAATATCTCACTCGGTTGATCCTGCTTTTGTTCATTTGTGACCCTTTAGGCACAAGGGTTTCGTTCAGCTGAAAAGGTCAGCGCGATTGCTCGCGTTTTGCGTTTTACCTGGTAGCGTTGAGCCATTTGCCGCGTGCCGTGCGCCGGCAGTGGTGCCGGGTTCTTTTTGGTGGTGTTCGTGACCACGGTCTTCTTTGTGGTTTTCCTGGGTGGCTTTTGGGGGCTTCCTTTATAGGGGTGGTGGCAATGCCTACTCCAGGCTGACCTCGACGCTGGACAAGGTGGTGGGCTACGATTTGATGAAGAAGAAGAAGAAGCAGAAGAAGAAGAAGGCTCACAGGCTTCGACAAGGTGATCCTCTGGACAGTGCAGGATGATCGACGCCCCGGAGGTGGACAAGACAAGATGCAAGTCCCGAATACTCTGGGGACCGTTTGCATGTCTGGCAGTGTAGCTGCAATGCGGCTTTCACCACTTCTTCTCTTAGCCAGCTTCCGGTGTCTGGATAGATCACGGTTGGACGGGTGACCCATGTTCTGATGGACTCTCCTCAATGCTAAGGCTCTAGGTTTGGAGACATTGGGCGGAAAAGAAATGCCTGCACTTCCCTCAATGTAGTGGGTGTCCAGGGTCTTCCCCACAAAGTTCCTTTCGTTGATCTGCCACGTAGGTAGCCCATGCTCTCTCCCGAAGTCCGCAGTGTACTGGCCTGCCGGCTTTGTATTCTGTCCCTCTGTTGGTGTATGATCGTGGTCTCCAGTACAAGGGCGGTCCAAGGCCTTCACGTAGTTCGCATCCGTGATGTTGACGGTACTAGGTTTCCTCAAAAGATCAGACTTTGCCCCTAAGTTGAAGCTGCACATGTCGAAGAAGACCTCCATGAAGCAAGGATCATCAAGCAGCGCTCTTATGTCAGGTTGGTCCCACAACGCTGAGCCCTTTGGATGCTCGAAAGCCACATGTCTCCCTTCGCGAATCTGTTTCTCCGCAACGTGGACCAGGAAGCGGATCATCTTCTTCTGCTTGGCTCTCAACCGTCGTAGTTTCTGCTTCTTGTCCTTTAATTTTAGGTGAGTCCATGGTCCCCACAACGTGCACGGGAAGGCAATCCACACCAGTTCCGGCTTGAAGGTGTCCGCATCATGCCATACGCCTGTTGAGCTTGGTCACCACTGAACAGCTCCGCCAAGACCACCCCACTTTCTGCCTCATCGGTCAAGGGCAGCCCGAGAACATGGTCAGAAGCCCAAGTGCAGAGTGGCTTGGTGGCCAGGTCGGTTTGCTCGCGAAGGCAAGCAGCATGGTCATGAGACATCCCAAATCCTGTGGGCCCAATTCTTGACCCGCTTTCGCGCGATTCTCCGCATCTTGTGTCCAGGGAGCTTCTTCACCCTGTCATCGGGGTAGAGTCGAGGAGGTTGACCTTGGGGACGCGGACCGTTTCCGTGTTATAGTCGTCAACGTCATCCTCCACATTGGACGAAGCCTCTTCCTTTTCCTGCTCATTCTCAAACGATGCCACCATAGATTTGAAGAGGTTCAATGGCTCCCTCTTCCCAGTCCCAGCTGGGCTCATAGATTCCTCTCCCTTGACCTCCGTCTTCACCTTCTTTGCCGCGATCTTCTCATTCAATTCTTTCCGGTATCTCCTGGCTTTCCTTTGGCGAGCTCCTCGTTCAACTTCTCCTGAAGGTCCTGGACCGTCTTCTCAAGCTTGTCGATCTTCTCCTTCTGCTCGTCCGCCGAATAGCCCACCATATAGAGAAGTTGTCCTCCTCGTCTGAGGTCGTCGCCCGAGTCCTCTTCCGGGGCGCTGTCTTCGTCTTTGCCTTCCCACTGGATGTCGCAGCTGCCTTCTGTAGGAGGGCAGGCTTGGGCAGAAGGGTTGCCACCGGAGGTGCCTTCTTGGCTACTTCCTCAGGGTCGCGATAGCCAGTCTTCGTGAACTTGTCCCGACTGCTTCCCCCTTCGGATCAGCCTCATGAGAAGTCCCGGTTGGCTTGCCGGAGTTGTCACTCCCAGCTCGTTGCACTTGGCGATGAGCTCCTCCAGCTTCATCCCTGACAGGCCCTTCAGATGCGAGTTGGCTGGGGTAGTTTGTCGCTGCTCCATCTGGGACTGTCCACTCCGAGCGCACAGGCACTCCCAGCTCCACCAGTGCCGTGGTCAATTCCGCCTTGTTCATCTTTCATGGCGAGGTCGAAGAGCTGGTCTGCATCCGAGGGAAGCTGGGCCGTAGGTGGCCGTCGAGGGACGCCGAGGTCTTGAGTCGTCTGTCAAAACGGCTCCGGCCAACCCACAAGTAATTGAACCTGCGTGGAGCCTCATCTGCCCAGCGAAACGAATGCGAAAGCAGAAGGCCGTTGGAGGTGCACGGTATGGTGATTGTTTCACCGTTCACGCAATGTTTTTCAACAAAAGGCCCTTCAACTCGTGGTTTGAAGTCTTCCATGCCCTGGGATCAAAGCAGAATTTGCGGGGAGTCACATGGACGCGGTAGAGATAGTGCGGCGTCTCGATCCAGAAGTCCCTAGAGTATTCCTTTGATCTCCACCATGGTGAAGAGGCTCATTCACAAGCATGTCATGTATGGAGTGTGAAATCTTCTTGGGAAAAACAACTAACTCCTCACGGCTGCTCGCCATATATGCCTCCTGCGCAGCAGGTACATAGACTTCAGTCAAGCTCCACTCAACGCGCTCCGGCCAAGTCATATGGGCTGGTCTGGTGCCAATCACAGAGACTTGAGGGTGGCCGGACACGCTGTTGATCAAACAAACCTGTTGCACATTCAAGTGTGCAAAGTTGGCCAGTCCCTTGGCGATGTCGTACTGCGTACCAAGTTCAGCCAAGGCTGGCCCGCTCAGCAAAAGTGGCACCTCTGCGGACACCACGCTGATCTTGATCAAAAACCATGCCTCCTTGATGGCGAGCCAAGTCACAACCGCAACCTTCGAGGGATAAAGCTTCTCCCCTCCAAACTTGAAGGTCTCGTTCTGCTTCAAGACGAAGTAGGAAACTCGATGTTCCTTCTGGTGAAGGCCTGCATCCAGCGCTTCCCAACCAGAGTCCGACTGCAGGCACACTTGCCCCTATATGCATGCGCTGGTCGACCAGGAAAGGGGCCTGATGAAGGATTTGCCGGAGGAGCTGGAAAAGCATGGGATAAGGGTGACATACACTGCTCATTGGCAGAATGGACAAGTAGAAAGACAAAACGCGCGGTTCCGGGTCATGTTCGATAGGGTCAAGGCCCATGTGCTGATGGAAGACAAGGAGACAGACTGGGTAATCGCCTCAGTCACAGAGGCAAAGAATCACCTTCGAAGAAGACATGGCTATACTCACCAGCACAATGGCTATTTGGAGTCAATCCCAGGCTGGGAATGGGTTTGGCCGATGGAGAAGATGAGACAGCTGAGAGACAGCAGATGATAAGCCACAGTGATGACTGGCAACGGAGGAGCGACATCCGACACGCTGCTAGGGAGGCCTATGTTAAACTCCAAGCTCATGAACGTCTTCAAGGAGCTCTTCACGGACAGCCACGAGTTCACCATGGTCACTTTGAACAGGGCCAGTACGTCTACATCTACCGGACTTCTAAAGTACCTGGCGGAGATGCGCTGTTTGCTTTGTGCCTACGAACACCTTCGTCTCGCTGAGTCGGAAGAGTTGGGAGCTACCCTTCAAGCTAAGGCCGTGAAGAGGGACCTCATCCGACTCATTGGGGCATGGAAAAGGATGATGAGGACGTCTTTGCCGATGCCACCGAGGAACCTCCACCGCCTTCTGAACCAGGGGAAGATCTACGAGAAGTCGACGACATGGAGGTAGACTCTGCGAGGGAGAAGAAAAGATCCGCCGAGCCAAAGCTCGTTCCGGCCAAGAGGATGAAGCAAAATTGCTGAAATACCCCGTGTCCCAGACGATGATGAGCTGCTTTGCTATGTGGCCTCAGACACGAGGGTGCCCCGGGCTCTACAGAAGCAAGCGGACAAGGAATTGAAGTGGTCTCAAATTGCGGCAGAAGAAGTTCACCTTTACAAGCAGGCAGGAGCCAAGCAATGGAGAGAACACTTAAAGTATGAAGCGGTGAAGATCCTGACCCCGGAGGAGGCCAGAAAAGTCCGAGCAAGGGTTCCACGGGATCGAATCCTGAAAGCACGCTTTGCATATCGTGACAAGAACTGTGCAAAGCGAAGGGAAGACTCCTCTACCCTGGCAAAGCCAACGCTCGGCTATGTGTTGGAGGACATCGTGACCCCGACCTTGCTGCTGGACATCTCAACACAGAGGCACCTACGGCAACCAAACCGGCAATAACCTGCCTGGTCTTCTTGACCATCCAATTTGGCTGGTCCTTAGCGGCAGGTGACATACAAGCAGCATTCCTGAATGGAGTTGAAGCCAGATGGGATCCCTTCCAAGGACTTGGAGGGAGTTGAAGAAGGTTCTCTCATCGAGATCGTGAAGGGGGTTTTCGGGTTGTCTACATCGCCAAGATTGTGGTGGGACAAGCTTGCAAAGACCTTATTGGAGGTCAGGGTGACCTACAACAACATGGAGCTGAAGCTGGTACAACACGAACTAGACAGCTGTTTGTTCCTATTACAGGATGAGAAGCTGGAACAGAAGCTGTCCAATGTCTTCCCCATCGACGCATGGGAAGACGCCTCGAATGGGCTGGAATATTGTGGAGCGAGCGTCAAACAGGAGAAAGAGAACATGGAGGACAAAGCGGACGAGGTGGCAAAGATGGATAACCAGTCCACCATCGGGGCGCTGTCAGAAGGACCCAACCTATGAGGACGTCAAGGCGACGAACTGGGTGGTGAGGATGGCACAACAAGCCAAGGGAGAAATGCTCAGCTACAGGAGGCTGGGCAACCTCGACGACATGGTCTTGCTCGTCTACCACGATGCGGCTTGGACAAATGCGGAAAGCCAGGAGAAGGGATGGTGGTGAGCTGGAAGTCACACGCCTGTCCGATGGCAGGGCTGGAGGGAGAGGGCACTCTTGATTCTTGATGGGCTGCTTCAAGAAGGGTGTCCAGGAGCCTTTGCCAATAGTCTCCCTGACTGGTTGCAAGAGTCTTTTTGACTCAGTCCACAGGGTCGGAGGACCCAGAGCACCGGCGGAGAAGCGCCTGATTGTGGACCTGGCGCGACTACCCCAGATGATCTATGAGGAGCAGGCGAGGTGGATTGGCACCAAGGGCTTTGAGGGTGGCAAGGCAATGAGGTGGTTGCCAACTGCTAAACAGATGGCTGACAACCTCACGAAGATCATCACGAAGAACGTCGAATGGTGGAGCCGCCTTAGCCATCTTGAGCCAGCAGGATCAAAGAACACAGAGTGAGTGTGAATATCTCACTCGGTTGATCCTGCTTTTGTTCATTTGTGACCCTTTAGGCACAAGGGTTTCGTTCAGCTGAAAAGGTCAGTGCGATTACTCGCGTTTAGCGTTTTACAGTATGTAAATTGTGTAACTATTCTAGTCTTGTGGATGGTCTGGGTTTGCTTGCACCATGTGAAGAAGAATGGCCCGACCAGCACCCGAGGTTCTCTGAAATGAGAACCTCCCAAAAAAGGACTTCAACAAGTCCTGGGCCTCTCTGACTGACCTGTCTGACTTGAGTCCTGGAACCCAGACCTTCACAGGAACCTGGTGATTGGTCGATCCCCGAACCCAAAGAACGACCTGGATTTATCCGGCAAAGGCCGCTGACCTGGGTGTTTGGTCCGATTTCTCCAATATCTCCAATCTGCTGATTCTTCGGGTTGGTTGCGGGGGCGAGGTGAACCAGGGGGCCGGACTCCGACGTCCCAAGTCCTCCACCGGAAACACCGAAGGTCTTCGTTCGAGGAAAACTCCGACTGGACCGAGTTCGGTCCTCGTTTCGACCCGCCTGGACCGAGTTCGGTCCACCGTTCGACCTTGGCTTTGTCCCAGTCCTTTGTGGCATCCCCAAAACCAGGGGCCGTAAAGCCCCGGAGCTCGGCTCGTGCTTGGGACCCGACCCAAAACCGAACGAACGAACGGAACACCTCCGGCCCAAAGGCAGCCGAGTCACCAGAAACGTCCACCCCTCCGCGGGCAGGACCACGAGATCGTGGTCAGTGGGTCTCCAAAGAAAGGGAAGTCCAAAAGAATCCGGACCCTCCCAACCTCCAGCAGATCCCTCAGCAGAACCTATGCTCGCCGCCCTCGCACGGTTTCACTCCAGGCCACCAAGGCGGCCAGGAGTGCAGCCACCACCTGTGCCAGCATGTACTTCGCCGCCTCGCCGCGCGTCACCTTGCCGCCACCGCCCAGCACGGCCAGCGTGACCTGACGGCGCTGACGGCGCGCTCGTTTCGACAGAGGGCAGACGTCTTATATCGAAGCGTGTTTTGTTGGCTAGTTACTATACCTTCTTGGCAATATATTATGCATGCACAGCAATGCACAGTATTAAATTCTATAGTCATATATAGGCATATTGTATATGATCCCTTAGAAGCCCAGTTCGACTATACTTGGCACCCACCAAAGGAAGCTCCATTCTGACATCGGCTCACCGCTCCATTCTGAAAGCGGAATCGTTCCAAGACTTTCTCCATGGCCGTTTCAGACGAACCAAGAAAAACCCATGGCACCACTTTCTCCCAGGTCTTCAGGCCTTCACGATCCCCAACAAAAAGAACGGCCACGGCCACTTTCTCCACGGCCACTCCGGTAAAGCTCCATATCCTGTTTCTCCGTCCCGTCCTCCATCATCCTCCCCACCCCAACCCCCGAAGACGTAAACGCACCGAAGAGGCCGCGGGATTGAAGTGGCCCCCTGACAGGTCGCCCAGCGAGTAGATCCTGGTGGCTCGAGACGAGACGAGCGAAAGCGGGGCGAGCTGACGAGCGAGACGAGCGAGACGAGCGGACGGGTGGACAGGTGGACAGGTGGACAGGTCGCGGTTTTGAGGTGGGGTGCAGATGGAGAGACAGGTGTGTCTTGGAGATGGCTGTGAAGTGTCGAAAGTCCAGGGAGACCCCCGAAACTCTCGCCCCGAGAACGCCTGGGTGTTTTCCGGTCTATGAAGCTCCCGAAGACTCGCGGCCGCGGCGATGAGTTTCTGCCGGGGAGGGGAGGTCGGTCGCCCGAAGACTGAGCTACACCATGATCCAGTCGCAGAGCTCGGGGTGTTAGTCCCATCCAATGAGCGGATGTGAGAAGGGGGCATCCCCAAGCTCCATGGATAGCACCCAACTTGGAACTGGTCTGACCAGCTCAGAAGGCGGTCAGTTACCGCATCAGTTACCGGTGTTCTTTCGTTTCAGAGACCTGCACCGGGCAGGTCTAACACCATGGACCTCCCAAGCAACACCAGTGAGACCGGTCGGTTTTTAGAAGGAAAGCCCTTGGAAACCACCCGCCTGGTGCGTCGTGCGTCGTTCGCGGTCCAACAGCTTTTCGGTCCAAACACGGCGAGCGTGGTGATGCAGGACATCCTCTGCGATGGTAGGGAAGACCATATTAAAGAAAAAGAAGTCCTGAAAATGAAGAGAATTGCATAAAACAAGTTCTGCAGTTTCACTATACTGGGTAAGCTTAGCAATCTCGTACGTCCTGCTGTTCATCAGTGATGACCAACTTTGAGAGTTCGGAGAGCTCTGTCGTCACGACCTAGTGGGAGGCCGATAAAGACGCCCTGCTAGGCTGGGCCTTGACATCCTTCTCGTTTTGATCCACTAAAGCCTCCCCCGCTTGCTTCAAAATGAAAAAACCACCTCCATCCAGCTGCACGCCAAGCATCATGCACATGAGCACCGCACTGGCCGAGTAGGCTGTGGCTCGGGAGCCACTGATGATGTTCAGCCCGAAGGTGGTCATCAACACAAAGGTACCCAGTGCTTCCTCAGACCCGCCGAACTGTCCCGTCCGGGCGAAAAAACGCGGTCTGGGCGGTGAGTGAAAACACCCGGTCGGTCGGGGGGAGCGGGAGGATCCGGGGCTTCCGGGACCCGAACCAAACCCTACCTGGACGCTCGCTCCAGTCATGGTGGCTGAAATGCAGACTTGAGGTCGTCGCAGTCGTGGTGACCCACGTCTCGGGTGCCAATTTTAGGCACGGCCATAGGTCTGTCATAGGTCTGGTTGGAAGCCCAAAAGATCGTCCCTGTTGGTTTTGGGGTTCCCAAAAAGGGGAGTCCAAGACCGGTATTACAAACCAGAAGTCACAAAGGGGTGGTGTTTGATCCCCAAGTGAGTGGATAATGGGCACCCCTAACCTCCATTAAGCACCCCTTTGTGACTGCTGGAATGAGTCTTCTATTTGATCCGAGTCTAGGAATGGCCGGAATCCTTTGCGTTCGTCCCCCAACAAATGACCTCTAGTTCACTAGACACCTATAGTGTTTTTGGACCGCACATGTGCACAAGAAGACCGGGGGAAGTTCAAAAAGTTGAACCCCTCTCCCGCTCCCCTGCGATGTCAGAGGGGGTATGTAGGGCAATTCAGGCCTGGTCGTGACCTCTATTTTGCACCAAGCACCCCTGAAGATGGTCAAACGTCCTATCAACCAAACAGAGTGTCACTTTTTTGTCGTCACCGTCACCCTGGAGCTTCGGATGACCAGAACATCTGCCAGAAAAGTGAACTCGACATACTAGGACCCACGGTCGGGGTGGTTCATGGACACCCCGGATCACCTCTTTTCGGGGCTATCAAGTTCGACACCCCTGGCCTGGGTGTCTTGGTAGTTATGTTATGTTCCAAAACCAAGACCCCGGTTTCAGGCGTCTCGGATGGTTGCGGTTTCTATATATAGCCCTCTATTAAACAAAGAGGTTTCCAGGGTGTCCATTCACCACCCCTGGGTAAACCCAGGGTCCTCGCCGCGAACACACGCCACGCCTTCCAACCGTCCGGGGAGACGGTGAGCCGAACGAAGTCCAAACACACCTTCCAAAACACCCTGAGGATAACTCTGAGAAGCTGTTTTCAACCAACCAACCAACCAACCAACCGCTGTTTTCAGAAGAACATGCCAACCCCACCCTACTCCTTGATCGCCCAGACTCGCCCAAAAGTCACCCAAAAGTCACCCAAAAGTCTTCTCCCTTTTCCGCCCTTGTCGCCGCCCACCCCACTTCCCATGTTCGGCCCAGACTCCGCCGCGCACTTGTGCTTCCACCCCACCGCTGGGCCGGCCCCGTCGGGAGGCACCTCCGCCGCGCCTGTGTCCCCCTCCACCGGTGCGGAGCTCGATTCCGTTCCGTCGGTGGACAACCTCAGTGGCTGGACGGATGCCCCACACGGATCCGATAGGCTTCCAAAACACGGCACCCCGATGGTCGGATGGTCCGGGTAGGAACATAAACCTGTTGAGTTGAGATTCTGGCGACGATTCGCCAGGCCGAGTCCTATAGTCTTTCCTATTAGACATTGTCTACGGTAATGATGGCTTTGGGGATGTGTTGGGGATGGTTTTGGGTCTTTGGGTCGTTGGCAGACTGGTGCGTGGAATGACCCATAGGCACGGCACAAATGGATTCAACGTTCAAGGGAGTGTTCATGAGTTTTCGTAGAGAGTTTTCGAGGGTCAGATGGCAAAGTTCAACTTGAAACCCAGAGGGTTTTGAAGGTGAAGAACATGAAGAACACCAAAGAACAAACAAAAAAAAAGGAAAAGATGCAGCACCCGAAGTTCACCCCGCTGGAGAGTCATGGCCCTATTTTCATGTCCACCGAAACACCTCGTACCACCGTGCAGGTGCTGGTCACCATGGCGAAGTGTTTCCGTTGAGCACCGATGACTTGGTCGCTCGTTTGGGGTGAACCGAGCTGCCGAACGTGAATCAAGAGATCTTCAATCCGAAGACTTGGAGGCTCGTGATGGGTAGTAGTCAATAGCTTCTGAGGGGCAGGACCTTGCTAAAGCAGCATGGTAAAGGTCTCCTAGCCTTTAGTGACCTTAGTGAAGCCTTAGTGCGAGGGTTCTAGGAAGAAGCAGCAACCATGGAACCGGCAACGGTTGCGAATGGCAGGCAGCGATTGGCAAAAACAACATGTGTTTGGGGACTAGACATCCGATCAGTACCTGGCAGCCTGGCAAACAAAAAGATTTGTTTGGAATCTACGTATACGTCTATACCGCGTACGGCGTATCTAGAAAACACAAAAATCGACAAAATTAATTACTTATTGGTTTGTTGATTAATTCATTCACAGGCTTGTGTTGCTTCTTCTCCTCAATGCATCCTTCTTCACCTCCTTCCCTTCCGACGCCGGGAACGGTCGCAGGTCTCTTCCGTCCTCCTCCTAACTGCCGCCGCAGCCACTCCGAGCGTCGCAGCAGCCAGAAGAGCCCGGTGGCCGCGCCGCTGCCGGCGAGCTCCGCGCCGAACCAGGCGAAGGCCCAGTGATGATCCTGGCCGCTGCCGCGGTCGAGGGCGTTATACGATCGTGGGGAGGTCGGCAGGTCGTGGTTCAGGTCGGTGAGGATTCAGAAGTGGCCCAGCGCAGGGATTCAGAAGCCAGATGGGGTGCCAAGACAAGTAATTACGGGTGGAAGAAAGGGTGCAAAACCGAAGGTGAATGAAGATGCTGTGGTTGCTAAATGTGTGAGCTGGATCTACTTGCTCTCCGAACTTTTTGCGAAAAGTCGAAAAAGTCGAAAAGTGCACGAAAAGGGAACGATGATAAAAAGAGTCACCTGCCAAAAGGTCCCGGGGCTTGCCAGGTCCTTTTGGCGGGCGTCTCTTTTTGAAGGTCATCGGGGCTGCGTGTTTTGACCTCCAGATCCTCTCTCCGTGTGTAGGAGCAAAAGCATTCTGCTAGACTTTTGTTGAAGGGCACGGCATGTGACTGGTGTCCAAAAATCTCGAAAAGTCGAAAAGTCTCGAAATGTTAGAAAAGTCGAAAAGTCAAAAAGTCTCGAAAAGTCGAAAAGTCTCGCTGGCTGCGTGCTTTCGTTTCCTTTACCTTTTTGACTTTTTTCACTTTTTGACTTTTCTCACTTCTTGACGCTTTGACTGTTCTCACTTTTTGACTTTTTGCGTTTTGCTTGGTGTCTTGCAAATAGATCGTCGCTAAAGGGTTTTGCGAGCTTAGTGAAGATGCCCCTGCTGCAACTTGGAAGGGTAGGGTGAATGAAGGATTGCAAAGCTGCCAAAGGCGGACATGCCAACAAAAATAAGGAACAGTCAAATGGCTGTGGGGCTGTGGGATCCAAAACATCAGGCATTCTGTGAAAAGGAGGGGTCTATATTGACTCATGATCTTTTGGGGTGCAAAGCAACGCCCTTCCGTCTCAGCCCGTCTCCGTCTCCGCCCTAAGAGCGGATCCACGGTGTGTGCGGATCTCGGAGTAGGGTGTGCTCTCTTTCCGAGTCGCCAAGCACTCCATGAGACTGGCATCGTTGGCGATCCTTTTTCGGGTGATTTGAGAGATCGATGTAGGGGGCCTCTTCCATCTCTTGGAGTGTGTGGGTATATGGCTCTGAAATGATGGACATTCGGGACAAGGCAAGTAGAAGGCTGATATGACAGCTTTTAAGAAAAAAACACTTATTCAGCCGACTCTCAAATGCCGCCGTGTGCGTGTGCTTGCCTTTTCCTTCAGGACACAAACAGGACCCCATTTGATGTTGTACTATAACTCACTAGAAGAGGATACTATATGCCTAGGCATATCTGCAAGGTTGAATTTAAAAAAACTGTTCATTTCTCCCATCCTGAAGAGAGTTGAAACCACCAACCACCCCTTCAGCTCCTAAAAACCCACACCCCTCCGATCCTCCTCCACTTCCAAATTACCACTCAGTGCTCACTCCAAACCCCGAACGTCCCTCCTCCGCCCGTCCCCCCCGGCCGCCGTGCCGCCTTGCCGCCGCCCATGCCCAAGGCCACGCTGACGGCGGGGTTCAGCGCCGCGCCCGAGATGTGTCCCACGGCCTCGGACGGAGAGGCGATGGACGACGAGGAAGGAAGGAAGAACCACGAAGAGCAGCGTGTGTTTGACCCGGACCGGGACATGGAAGAACGGCAATGGTTTCTAATAACCTAAAATGACATTCCAATGATGAAATTGAAAATTATTCTACTGTTATTAAGCTAAAAAGAATGATTCACCCAAGAAGTTCTAGATTCCATACCTGTTAAATTCTCCCAGGTTCGCTCTGTCTCAGACTATCCATGGGACTGGCCAGGCCGCCAGCCATTTCCCGAGCAAAGGCGGTGCTGCGCGAGCATACCTGGACCATCCTGTCGGGATGCCCAATGGAAGCCTCTAGGACACCCCTACAGGATGGTCCTGGTAACTTCCATGCGATGATCTGAGCGCTCTTTGCCTGGCAGAAAGCACCTCCTCTGGGCCCTGCCCCCCGCGTTCGAGTTCCGTTTTGGCCGGGCTCCGTCCCCTGAATCCCCCTGAACGGAGTGGCATAGCCGCCACCCATGGCCGCGAAGCCAATGGCCAGGCCAAAGAACCTGAGATCCGACCGTTTGGAAGAGCTGGGAGGATGGAATGGGACCCGGATGGGAGGAAGGAAAAAACAGAAGCGAAAAAGGGTCCCAGACGAACGATTCAACAGGGTCTAATGTACCGAAGATCGTCGGAAATCCTGGCACCTTCGAGGCGTTCAAATGCGGAAAACCACTGCGCATCTCATTGAACACAGCAGTGCTAGGTGGATCCGTCACATATTCTGTTTGAGCGGAAACCGGCGGAAACGGTTTCCGAAAATGGAAATGGCACCCACCCTAGCCTTCCGTCATGCGATGTCGATGACGGTTGACCTTGTTTTCAGTGCAACATATTTAGTGAAACATCACCCAAGTCAGGGAAGGAGTCTTTTCAGAACGACTCCCGAAACAACCATTGGAACAATCATTGAGATCCGGAACACATAGGAAGTGGCACAACATTTGGCATCCATGCTGATTGGAAACGTACTTAGGAAACATCCGCACAAGTGGCACCACAGGACGCCTGAAGCATTCAGAAAGTGTCCATTCTACGGAACAACCCGCTTAGGGGCTCAAACGCGGTGAACGAGGCCCGTAGTGCGACCGTGTCGGTCAGGTCGTCTGTCAGCGGCAGCGTCTGGTTTTCATCCACATGGGGCTCAAAAAACGACGCCATGCCATTGGCTTGTGCTTGAGAGGTGTTCCAAGGCTCAAAGATGCTCAAAGGCAAAAGAAAAAACACTCCAACTTCATCCCGCTCTTTGACAACTCCAAGAACTACGACCGGAATGGCAAACTGGGATCTTGCGGTTTCCGGACAAGAAAAGGGCCAACTGGGCGGTTTCCGGACATCGACCCCGTCGGTGCCGTCCAAACCGACCATCTGTCCATCCGTCCAAACCGGCGTCGGGACTTACGGCGGCCCGGATCGGACCGGGGGGGGGGGGTGCTTCATTGGGACCCGGAGGGTTCAATCAACTCTCCATTCTCGGAATGGGTTCAATAAAAAAAAATGAAACGAAGCATGCCGGTCGGGGCCGCTGTAAAGCCAGACTGCGCCCAGAAGCGGGTGAGGCTCTTTGGATTTGCCGGTGCGAGTGCAGTTCAGAACCACGAAGACCAACACAGCCTGAGCCGTGAAGGACCGTGAGGGGCGTGCGACACTCTTGGACAGCAACCGAAATGAAGAGTGGTTAGGTTACAACGATGCCAATGAGATGGCAAAGGATGGCCATGACTTTTGTATTGTTTCGTTTTGTGGCGTGTGACTTGTCAAAAAAATCATCCCAATGTCCCAATGGTCTTTAAAAACAGAAGAATATCAAATGGAGACACATCAGAGAAGGTTTGGAATTTAGAGTGATGTCCAAGTTCATTTGGAATCGAAATAATAATGAAAACATACAAACTAGTTAGCTTCGAAACTGCTGAGTTCCAGAAAACCAGGCTACTCTGGCCCAGGCTACCCATATGAGTCTATGACAGTCTATGAGTCTATGTCAAAAAATCGTCCGACCAATCCAGAGAACACTCAACAACAAACGGTTCGCCAAAAGTTCCCCCAAGCCTGGGCGCTGGGCAGTGTACCCAGTGTGAATTACTGTAGTTGATTGTGCCATGATGGCAAACTGAATTAGATTAGATGGCACACCTGGATTCCAAAAGCGCTGCGTGGGACGCAACTGCAAAATGTGGAAGACAACATGCAATGTGTAAGTAAGTGTCTTATCACCCACATGTGGAAGCGACCCAGTCACATCCTTCCACTCTCCCTCTCTCTCTTTCACCTTTCCACGTCTTTTCTCCGGAAGTCCTGGCCAGTCGCTTTCTGACCATTCACCCCTTCACCAAGCAGACTCCATTCTCATCCTCCAAGCTGCGGTGTAGATGACCTCCGCCCCCAAGGCGTAGCCCGCATGGAAGGGCGCCACCGGTGCCACCACGGCCAGATGCGGCGCACCTCTCGGCAGAGCATCATTGGCGGAGCTGAGTTTTGGTGCCCCAAGGCTATGGGGAGGTGGAGGGTCTGACTCCTTGCCATGGAGGGCCCAGTATGGATTCTTTGATCATTTCACATGATTTCATCATGAAACCTTTCGGAGTCGCTGGATGGAGGGCCCGCATGGAGGGCCTTACCTTACGAGCGTGCGTGATTAAACAAACCCTTCGGGATCCTTCGGCCCCTTCGGGTGCACTGAAAGAAACCATCAGTGCTTGGCCAAAGACACATCTTTTTATGGCACAGCGAAGTTCAGACTGTGCTGGGATCCGCTGTCATCCGTGCTCCACTTCCAGATGTGTTTTGGGAGATGTGCCAGTGCCAGCATTCTTTAAGGAGCCCCCACTAACCGTCACACTTACTCGGGGGGTCCCTTGTGCTTCGCATGCCCCGCACCACTTCATGCCCAGCACCGTGTCCAAGCCCAGCAGCCCAGCACCGAAAAAATACACCCTCATGCCCGGGCGCAAACCATCTTGTAGGTGGCCGCCGCAGCAAAGGCGCCCGCGAATTGGAAGAGCCATGTGGAGACGAGGGCACCCACCGACCTCGCACGCTGGGACGAAGATCGGGACGACACAGCGGGGCAGCGGTCGGGATCCTCCATGCGGCCAGGCACGGCCGGTGGAGGGTCCGAACTCACCAGTTTTTGTTGAGTTTCTTTCTCTTCCCATCAGAAGATCGATGGTGCTTCAGGTTCTTTTTTTCCGGAGGCGAAGAAGGCGAAGTAAGCCAAGACACTTCTTGCCCAGCAAAGCCAGGGCGAAGGTCACCGCGGGGTTCAGCTGTCCACCCGAGGACTTGTAGGTGGCGTAGATCAAGACCGTGAGAGCCTAGATGAGCGGAACATGACTTTGTGGTTGAGAGCGTCGCAAACCCGGTTGGGATGTACATCAAACCCTACCAGGACCTTCCACCAAGCCTGGTGGTTTTTGGACACCCCGAATCACCTCTAAGAGGCCCTTTATAGACACCTCTTGGCCTCTTGGGAAGGTCCTGGTAGAAGTCGAAGGACTGCATTATGTTCTCGTTCAAGTACCCTAGTTCGACTCTCAGGGCAGTCTTTCTGCAGCGCGTTCTTGACTGGAGAGCACAAGGATTGGACATGAGTTCACATCTAGGACAAGCCGATGTTCCATGGTTTTTCCACCAAAAAGTAGGATCGCTTCTTTTCCCGACCCATCTCCCCATAAATTAAATTTGGGATACCAGAAGCTGCGCACCTCATCTGTTTTCGGCAATTGGGTACCTGACTGGAGCTATGTTTGCGGACGCCACCACAGTATCCTCTGTACCTCTCCTTTCAACAAAAAACGAGTGCTTTGATCATGACTTCACCCTCGTGATGCTCCTGGATCGCTGTATCGCTGGTGTTCCGCCAAGCACGACAGACCAGAATGAAAAATTGGCTCGACCTGGGTGTGCCCTCACTTCTCCAAAACCCGCCGGACTAAACCCTCTGAAAACGTCTCCACCCCCAGACCGGTGTTCCCTCCCTCCGGCCGCGGCACGGCGCCGATGCTGACCGGAGCCCAGGGCGCCGGTGTGGGCGAGGCAACACAGCAACCCACGATGAAGACCAGGAAGAAGGTGCCCACAGCTGACGGGGTAGGTGCTCGCGGGGTAGGTGCGTCATGAACGAAAAAGAGACTAGCAGATAGGGCCTACATGGACCCCAAACAAACATTCCCAGTGTAAGCAAATATGCCAGTCGCAGAGTATCTGAGATGGGCCACTTGAAGCCCCAGGCGATTAACATGCCCGACCGCCCGACCGCACTGTAGCTCTTACGAAAGTCTGAAAGCCATGGCTTCAAGCCCCAAATCGAAGCAAACCTACCCCGGCTCGGTCGTCCAAGGCAGAAAACCCCCGCAACCAACTGGATGACCAAGAGTGCTGCTCAGTCCCTGCTGTTCAGGGCCGCCCCGCCTTCGCCGCGCGGTCACGAGCCGTCGCGAGCCGTTTCACCTTTGAGGTGGTGAAAGTGACGAAGAGGTGGCGAAGATGGTGGCCTCCAACTGTGCTGTACGACAGATGTCCCTGTGTACATGATCCTGGGTCTATATTGTGGTCTCGCGAGCTGTTCCAACTTGAGGCGGAAAACATCGCACGAAAGCTTGAAAAGGCCAGGAAGACGGACTGCCGCAAACCCCCCCCGAGTCCTTGCGGACGGGTCCGCGTCAAGTTACCCCATCCTTCGGCATCCTCTGCTAAGCACCCATTCCGCGTGAAACGCACGGGCGAAACGCACGAAGTCTCCTGTGATCCCGGGGGGGGGCAGGTGAACAGGGGGGCAGACCTTCACTTCATTCCCCCTTCACTTCAACACCGCGCTTGGCGCGCAAGCTGGTGGATGTCGACATCGATGTGCCTCTTTCACTCGATCTTTAGCCTTCAAGGACCAAGGGGCCCTTTCATGAAGTAGTTGAAGAGCATGTCCTTGTACACACCAAAGTTGCCTAGGTCATCACCCGCCAGGTCGCGAAAGCTGAGTCGGTTCCGTCGGTTCCGATGTCCGGAACCGTTCCGATGTCCGTTCGTCCGGGAGGCGTACATGACCGGCCAAGCGGACGACACATGGACCTCCATGGACGTACAGCGAATGGTAGACTGGTAGACGAAAAAAAGACGGGTTGGTCTGAGCTCCACAGTTGTGACCACAGTTGAGCTCCACAAAGCTCCACAGAGCTCCAGCTGTGGAGCTCCAGCTCAGAGCTCCACCGTTGTTCGTGAGCCAAGTTGGCCTTTGTTCTTCGGTTGACCGAGGACCGTTGCGTTTGGGGCCCGGCGGCTCCAGACGGACCGAGAAGTCGAGTGCCCATTGGGTGCCGGAGCGCGTCCGGACCAGCCGAACCCCCCCCCCCCTGGCGGGGAGGTGTTGAAGTCAGGTACAGTTCGTTGAACAGGTGGGAAAGATGGAGGACTTCAACACAAGAAGAAAGATGGAATTCGTGTTTTCCTACCAGAAATGTTGCATCAAAAGTAGAGTGCGGAATCGATTTCGTCCCTGCACAAGGTCGAAATCAAGCCGACCAGAAAGGTTGAGATCTTTTTCCTATCTGTTCGATACTCTGGAAGGGGGACGGAAAATTGGATGTCCATGCGTTCCTACTCCTAAACTTACCTTATACAGACATCCTCTATTCTTCTTCCAGGTCGTTTGCAGGACACCAGCCGGAATTGATGCAGTGGTAGTATTTGTCTGTGAGGTTACTTTTATAGTAGAAACGGGAACCACCCTCTACATAGGCATTGAGAGCTGGCTCCTATCTGCCCAAATATCTTGAGAGACTGACATCTGGGTCACAGATGCCAGTCCACGAAAAAGAACCAACCCCGAACCACCTTTCAACTGTCCCCTCCCCCCCAAAAAAACATCCAGCCCATCAGTCCCAAACAGGTGAAATTGGGGAAGGTCACACCCATCCCAACCATCCCCGGAAAAACGATAAGCATCCTTCCCCAGCGGCGTGTCAACTCCTTGAGCAGCTCATCCGGCGTCAGCACCGGACGTGCGGCAGCGGCTGGAGCCGTCGTGGCACCCCGAGTGGATCCCCTGCGAAGAAACGAACGCTGTTCACGGCAGGGATCGACCACCTTCGAAGGTTCCAAAAAGTGGTTGAAAGGTGGGCAAATGCTGGGAAGTCGTGGGTTTGCTTGGGATTTAGTCCTGAGTGTCTTCCAATCTTGAGCTTGGCAAAGGTTGTTCCGGATTGAGGCGCGACTCAAAAACCATGGTGGGCCGAGGAAGCGGACGGATGTGGTTTTGATCTTTCAGCGAATTGGAAGGAAGGCGGGCACCAAAAAGAATCCCGCAAACCGGAGAGTGGCCCATCTTTGGTAAAACACAATGGCTTTCACCATCGACCATTCATGAGAAGACCAATCACTTACAACGAATGCCCGCTCGACGGAGGCCAGACTTCGGTCTATGGCTCATGGCCTGCGGAGTCACGGTCATCTCGTTCTCGCGGACCCGGCGACCCGTCAACTGGTCGACCAACAAATGGGACGTGGTGAGGAGCGAATAAACACTTGGGACGTGGTGGAGCTCACAGACTAGTACTAGGCTCCGCTGCTCCAAAAAAGTCGTTTCAGCGTTGTCTTTTCAGACCACGCCACGCTTCTCCCGCCCTGCATCACCTTGCCCCCACTGCATCACTTCGACGCACGCGTGCGTCCACCTCGACGCGAATCTGACCTCTACGGCGCGTGCGTCCACCTCGATGCGCTGGTTTTATTCCGAAATTCAACGTCCTTGGACCCTCCAAAGGGTTTGGGGGCCGCTCTGAACCCTTGGTTGAAATCCTACTCGGGTATGCCCACACTTGTGGGAAACCCATCGTCCTCGCTCTGGCTCCGTGGAGAAAACGCTCACAACGAAGACGACGCCGCCTACGGCTACACCAATCAACTGACGACCTACTACTATCACAAGCTGCGGCAAACTTATTTTCGGGCTCAGCCTGCACGAACCCGACACGTCTTGAAATCATCTCCAGCGCCTCCCACCAGGAGCAGGCGCGCCGGGCGCGCCCGCGGTCGTTGCACCATAGGAGGCAGCATCACCTGGCGAAGAAGCCAAACCCAAAACCAGTTCCAGTGATTGGGGCGGTTGAGGCGAAAGACCCACTCCATAGTAGGTCTATACAAGAGCCACCCCAGGTTCTTAGACTTGCACACATACAACAAGCAACGCGAACCCAAAACCGTCATGAACTTCCAGATCTCATCAGTGTCACAATTCTTGCTGGGTACGACCCTTACCACGAATCTTCCCCTGAAAGACTGAAGAACAAAATTCACCCCGAAAAAAACAGTTATCTGGGTCCCAACATATTTGCCCAGAAGTGAAGCCAAAATCCGCCGACTTCCGTCTGTTTTCCTCCTCGCCGTCTGCGAAACGACCCGCGAAAACGAGGTTGGCTTGCTGGTGAGAGGGGACGGAGATGGAGATGAACAAGACCGGAGTTTTGAAAATGGATACCGCGCTTTGGATCGACACCTTGGCCTACCTGGAAGCTCGCTCGTTCGCTACATGATAGACTGGTCGGGCTCTAGGTTTTGACCCATCTAGCCAATTCACACTGGACTCAGCGCGAGAAGACCGACCGCGAGCCTTCCAAGAGGGATCGGTCAGCGGCTTCGGAACCGGTGGCCATGTTTTTGCGCCTGGTCGGGGCTGATCCAACCGTCCAATGCAAGGGATCTAAAGGGGAGTCCGAAAGAAGCGTCAGGCAGAAAAAGAAAAAAGGATCAACAGTTACAGTTCCCACGATTCCAGGTACTGGGAAAGGCGTTGACCAATGAACAAGCGCAAGTTTCTGCAATGTGATCTCTTGGTGTCCCTCTCTGTGACCTTTTCCAAGCCTGAGTGACCTCAAACCAAAGGATCAAGTTTGGACACTTTAAGAAGCAGGTAAACACATAATAGCACAAGTGCTTTGCTGCAACACTCCTTGCAACAATTAGTAAGCGGAAAAACTGATGGTGAACAAACACATCCAAAAACGGCAGCCTTCCCTCCAAATGAGTACCAAGCAGCAGAACGAAGAGTTTCAGTGAGCTTTAGGGTTAAAGCTTGCTTGCGACTTTAGAGCCAAGAGCTGGCCGCATCAACCCGAGGTCCGTACGGCTCATCCAAGGCTGGAGCCCAAGGTCCGTTCCAGTGGATAGGCGAGGTCCTGAGACGGGTCCTGATAAGGACTACACCTACCGGTGTAGTCCAGCTTCTTCCCTCTCTATCAGCCAAGACCCTGCACTTTTTGGGCTCTTGAAATCTGGAACGCGCATTTGTACATCAGGCTCTGCCTCGATGGCCCGGTCGCTTCAATGAGTCTCCCCCCTTCGTCCCCTTTCCACCTCTTGGGGTTGAGTGGGGCTTTCCAAAGAAACCGCAGAATTACATACCCTGGTGATGTTTCAGGTGCAACACCTGCGGGGATTGAGTTTTTGTGTTTGTTTCATGCGTGGGGTTTTGATAGAAACGCATTCCAAGACTGATGTTACACCTGGGAAGATTTTGCATGGAAGCTGAAAACAAGCTGATGTTGCGACTTTAGAGCCAAGAGCTGCAGGCCGCATCAATGAGGCGGAATTCGCCCATGGTGAGACTTTGAAATCAACGATCCTTCGAAAAGCAAAGTGCCTGTCACTCGGCAACGCTGGCTCCTGATGCTGTGTTTTTCTTCGGTTGACCACAGGGAGGACCGTTGGAGCGTTTGTTTGGGGTCCACCTCCGGCCGCACCACCTGGATCCAACGGACCAGACGCTCATGGACCTGAACCTTCTGGAGGGGACCAAAGGGCTGTTCGGAGCCGTCCCCCCGCGGGAGTGTTGAAGCCAGGTACATCAGTTAGTTCAACAGGCGGGAAAATGGAGGACTTCAACACAAGACTCTATGGAGGATTTATATAGTGTTTCCTACCAGAAATGTTGCGTCAAAAGTAGAGTGCGGTGTCTCTGCACAAGGTCGAAATCAAGCCGACCAGAATGGTTGAGATCTGTTCCTTCTCCGTTCAATACTCTGGAAGGGGGACAGAAAATTGGATATCCATAGGTTCCTATTCCTAAACTTACCTTACATATACAGACTTCCTCTACAGGACACCAGCCGGAATTGATGTAGTGGTAGTATATGTCTATGAGGTTACCTTTATAGTAGAAACGCGAACCACCCTCTACAAAGGCATTGAGGGCTGGCTCCAATCTGCCCAAATCTCTTGATGAGACTGACATCCGGGTCACGACACGACTTGGAAGAGATGCCAGTCCACGAAAAAGACCAACCACCCCCAACCACCCGGAAAAACGAAAAGCATCCTTCCCAAGTGGCGCGTCAACTCCTTGAGCAGCTCATCCGGCGTCAGCACCGGACGTGCGGCAGCGGCTGGAGCCGTCGTGGCACCCCGAGTGGATCCCCTGCGAAGAAACGAACGCTGTTCACGGCAGGGAACGGCTGATCGACCACCTTCGAAGGTTCCAAAAGTGGTTGAAAGGTGGGCATGCTGGGAGTTCGTGGGTTTGCTTGGCCTGAGTGTCTTCCAATCTTGAGCTTGGCTTTGTGTTAAAACCCTTGCTAGCAAAGGTTGTTCCGGATTCAAGCAACTCACAATCCTGGAAGAGAGTTGTGTTCCTCGGGCCAGTTCACAGGGGCCTTTGCCCGGTCGGACGCAGGTGGACTGAGTTTTTGGAAGTGGTTTCAATTTTCTCTGCAGGCCCTGTTGCCAAGGAGACCCTCCAATTCTCCGAAAGGATCAAAAGGGAAGCTTTGCAAGATGACTGGAGTGGTTAAAGTCGGTTTCCAGCTCCCCATTGCATATCTGAGAGGTCTCCCTATTCTACACCCTAATATCATGTTCAGCACACTCGTCAAAAATAAAATGACTGTCACCATTCGGAAGACCATTCTGATAAGACCCCAACAACGAATGCCCCACGGGCCCCGTCGACCCGTCCTCACGCGAGGCCTGGGCGCTTCAATGAGGCATTCTCCCTCAGTTTCCCTGAAAAATGGGTTGACCCCCTTTCCACCTCTTGGATTATGGGCCACATGATTTCATACCCTCATGATTTTTCAGGTGCAACACCTGTGGGGGTTGAATGGCTTTGTTTGTTTCATGCATGGGGGTTTGATAGAAACGCATTCCAAGACTTCAAGTGCTTTTGCACCTGGGAAGATTAGCATGGAATCTGAAAACCACTGTAGAGGAAAATTGTCTTCCAGTCTGATTCATATTCAGGTTCCATGTTGATCTTCCAGGGTGTAAAGGGTAGTACTATTTCATACTCTTTGGCAGGTTTTCATCGGTTTTCATCGGCTACTAGAGAGTGGTTGTTGAAAAGAACTCATGAGTCTGTGAGGATACACTGGGCATCCTTCTATATATTACCTGGATCTGCATTCGGGTTCCTTTATCATCTGTACCTAGAGGTTTTGTATATGAAATCAAGCTTTCGAGCATAAAAGCTTGGATCGAGCAGATTTATTGAAAGCGTACAGAAACATGTATCGAGCAAAAACTAGTGGGCAGTTACCACTCAGCCATGCCCCTTGCTCAGTGGTGGGGCATCATCCGCTGCGCAAAGTGCCCGTGACAAGATTATATATTGCTTTTGAGGGGGGCCTATCACTCTCTACTATTTTTTCTTGGATGTTTTGGCCGTTGCTCGTGTGAGTGTGTGTGTGTGTGTGTCATAGGTACACACAGGTGTTGATGAGCAGCATCTCCTGGCAGGTGAAGGCTGGCGCGACATTCTGCCACTTATGGCTGTTCAAACATTTTCACGGAACTCACAGAACATGTTTACTATCTCTTTGAACTCATTTGGGCACAAGGATATAGATCTCCAGAGTTTTTGGCTTGGGGTGATGGACAAAAGCGCAATTGTGACCGCTATACTGCGGGAATGGCAGGAAAGCAAGGACTTGACTCAGCCAGGTGCCACTGGGACTATGGCCAGGGTTTCCAAGGAAACAACAGTGGGCAGGTCTGCTGCAAAAACATTGAACTCATTAAGCCGGTGATTGGTTGGTACTCAAAGGTGGCACTGCTCAAGGAAGGTTACTCAAAGACTTTTGGTTGCAGGTCAAATATATATATATATATATGTGTGTGTATAGTAGACATAGATGTATATAATCTATATATACTTCTCTGCAGTCCTGAAGTCGCACTGGATCTGTTCAGTTCAACCTCTCCCTAGTCCAGCACCTCCGGCTATTCCCGCCAAGGAAAATGATTGAGAATTCTTGGGCGTGGGCTCAGAAACAGGGGCCGGGCAGGTTCAGGATAAACGAGATCCACGGAGAAGAAGAGATTAAGATAGTCTTGTTCCAGGGCTTTGATGACACCAACGCACAGATTGAAGAAGTTGAGCGCAAGGGTCAACTCTCAGTCGAGGAAGGGCTTTGAAAAAATACCAGTGGGATGGTGAAGGCACTCTCTAATTCCATGTGTTTGGGATTGCATGCCTCACAAACAGCCAGTCTAACCCACCACCCTTGAAACGCTCCGTTGCCGTTGCCTGCACTGGTGCCAGGATGAAGCTGGCACATTGCTGGACAGCGGATTGGACGGTCTGCCTGGAGATGATGCTCCATCTTCATCAGGCGGCGGTGAGCCGGGTAAAACACCAGTGGAAGTTGTCGGTAAGACCGGTGGTGTGTAGAGCTTCAAGTATCTCAACTGCATGCGCGTTGTGGAAAGTAGTGTCTATATGGTCCTTCAAAAAGTTCCGATATGTGAAGCTCAGGCTGTCGTTTCCATCGTGTTCACAAACAACCTCACCACTTCAGATTTTGCCTCAGTTCGTGGAAGTGCTCGGCCGGAAAATGGACAAGACCCAGACCGAGCTGGACCTTGGAGCATGTTTTTTTGCAAACATTGATATCGATTGAAAACTGTTCGAGGGTCAAACATGTTTGTTGGCAGGGTCGATTGTCAGAGGTCAAGGACTCTAAAGCCATAGCGTTTCAAAGCTCCATGCATGCTATTATATTGATCCTTTCCCACATACGCTTAATTACACCATCCCGAAACGGAAAAGGGCTTCAGCCATGTGCCAAGGCTGCATGCCTCTTTGAAGGCACAGCTAGAGAAGATGCAAAGCACCTATGAGAAGCTCGCCAACGTCCTTTCTGAAGCTACAGTCAACGCAACAGTTTTTGACGAGACCCGATGGGATCAATGCATGCATGCACACATGAAGGAACACTGTGTTGTGAACTGATGTCAAACGTACTAGTTTGCAGGACCAAAAGAGCAGAGGTACAATCCATCTTCGTCTTGTGCACAAAATTGGATGTTGCCATGAACAGTCTTCTTATGAGGGCGAAGTGGGTAGGCAAACATGTCATTGCACCGGTTATGTACCCATGCACTTTTGATCCCTTTCCCCCACCTTCTTGCCTCGAAGACCAATGAAGGCACCAGAATCCTCTGCTCCTGGCAGTAAAGTTCGTCGGGGGCCGACGGGCAATGCTGATCCAAAGGCAAAGCCAAAGCCAAGTCGAAGGAGAAAGAGCCTAAGAAGGACAAGTCTAAGAACGACTCTTCTAAGAAGGCTAAAACGCCTGAGGAGTGAGTTTTTGTCCTTCCCATTTTGCACTAGGGGTTCGTTGCGCGTGGACTTTCACCACGCTGCCTAGCTTCCATACATGTTTTGTCATATGACTTGTAAAACTGTTGCTGTTGGTTTCCATTGTGGAGGCCTAACAAAGCAATCTGAAGCTCCTGCAATGCGGCAGGGCTAGACTCAGCTTGATGAACTACAGCTCAAAAAAATGCAGCTACAATTTTTGCAACCAATACCTTTCACATGTTTGTTCTTTTGTACGCCTGTTCTCTGCCAGGTCACACACGTTCTCTGAGTGATGTGAAAGGTGACCCATTGGGTTTAGAGTAGTTATGGTGAAAGTCTGCCAGTCTTTCATGGGCTTACAGCAAACCGGCCAGTAATGGGTCAATGCAGGTATTGAAAATGATCCATCAAGTGGGTCGGAAGAGGATGAGTTGATCGACGCCTTCGTGGAAAGCTTTGCAGATGGTGCTACTTGGACTGATTTAGAGGGAACAAAGTGAACAATTGCTGAAACACAACATGCATACTACAGATTGGCAGCCAAATCTGTGGTATCCTTTTCCTCCAAAACGGAAGAACTTCTGGACAAACATGGAACGTTGTTTGCATTTATAGTGTAGCAAGACTTCGTGAGTCGTCCAATTATTGGAAGAGCTTTTCAATCTAATTCCAACACACACTAAGCCTTCTGGACTCATGCAGGTGTCTATGAGAGAAAGATCTCCGATATGGCTTCCAAGACAGGTAAAAATGCTAGCCCAGGTCTGGATGCCATGATTCACAAGCACAAGAGGAAAGTGAGCGTCCAAGCAAGTGCAGTCGAGACACCTGTGAAGCTCTCCAGGCCCCATAGGATCGTAAAACCACCTTGGCCAGTGCTTCACTTGTCAAGCTGGGCCAGAATGTGCCTTGAACACCGTGATTACATGTGATTACCAAGCATTTTGCTTAGGTGGGAGCCCTGCTGCCGAGGCCAACGGGAGACACGCTGGACATTGGGTGTACCGAAGAATGATATTGCTGGTCTGTCGGCCAAACACCTGGGCTGTTTTGCGAAATAGAATAAGCACCCAGTACCCAGCTGTTCTACAAAGAGTTCAGCAAACCCAATACTAAGTTTCCTTGCATGCATGTTCAACCAGTGAAGAAAACCAGTGTCAACCCCTGGCGACACACCCTTTCCCTGCGCCTTCCATCCCTTGCTCTGCCCGTTGCTCCAGATCTCTGCCTACAGTCAGTCGATACGTGTGCGAAGCAGGTAAGCAGGTTCCGAGGCCAGATTCAGATGTTGCTGTCGATCAACATGTTTTGCCTCTGGAATGCATGACGAAAAAACGATTCACTGGAGACAAAACTGACGAACCTTCTGCATAACTCTTGTACATCAACCAACATTGGACTCCTTCGCTTCGATATAGGACGATCGAGCGACGAGGTTTTACGACGTTTACCGTTTACACAGCAGAAGTCCGTTTTGGGGAAGATCCGAGTGGCGTGTTGTGGATCCAAAGCCCAGCCGTGCGCATCATCGCCCACGCCTGGCAATTTCAGTTAGAAAGAGAGAGAGAGAGAGAGCAGCCAAAGAAACAAAGAACGAGCAAATAGGAAAAACAGGAAGAGAAGAGAAACAACAAGAAATGATCAAAATCCGTTCCAGACGCGGATTCCTAAAGACTTCTTCTTCCTGTTTCTTCTTCATGTGTTCTTTCAACTTCTTCCTAATCAAAATTTGTTTGTACAACTGTAGACCCCTCTGTAGACTGTAGACCTGTTCTGCCAACGTTACCAGTGCTAGCTCGCCGAGCTTGTTTTGGCGCGGAGACCGACCGGCGCGGTTCGACCGACCGCCTGTGGGTGACATCACCCCCAAGCGTTTCTCGTAGAGCTTGGACAGGAGACCCACCTGCCGAGCGTGACACGATCATCGGGATCTGGGAACAGGGGTAGGTGGTAGGGATAAGTGGTAGGATAAAATGATGCTGGTCATGCTTGGTGATGGAGTGAGATGTTTAGATGTTTCAGACTGATTCGTTTCCGGGTGCCTTCATAGGCCAATGCGCATCAATGGGCGTTTGAAGCAAAATGTTTGCCCACGAAAAAGGAACGCGCTTCGCTTCGCTATCTTCGCTTCGCTGGGATCCGGGCTTGGTGTGTCTCCACATGCTCATAGAACTCCACCTGACCGGAGTGAAGGATACAACGAAGGCAACCCCCGTGTCGAGTCTACATTAAGACTCTTGATTAATCAACCACCCCATATGAAGAGGATATGAAGAGGCTTGTCAATTCACATGGGGGGGTTATAAGTTATTCATCAAGAGTCTACATTAATGTACATCGAAGGCTCGGCTTGAGGAAGCGAAGGCTAGGCGACTAGTCCGTAAGTTGGGCTTGATCAAAAGGCTTTGGGCTTGATCGGCCTGCTGATGTGCCATGGTCAAAACTGTTGCTTTGCTGTAGGAGGGATGCTCATCCATGTCACTAAGGACTCAGGACTGTATATAAAAATCCCACTTCAAAGCCCTTGGTGAGGGCAGGATGACCATCCCACATGTACAAGTAGGGAATTAGGGTGGCTGGATCCAGAATCTCTAGACAGTGGGCGACACTTCCCTCGATCCCTATGTTCATCGCACCAGTCAGTCTTTGGTGCTCTGGTGTTTGGTCGCGTTTTTCGCCCAACGGCCACTCTGGGCTTTCGGAAAGGGGCAGAGTCTGGGCCAGAATGGCCTCGCGGAGGAACTACTGGACACCCAAAAGTTCTACACCTTCGACATGTTGAAGGAAACACCCTCGATCCGATTCGACCGAAACACCATGAAACACCCTGAAACAGTCTCACTCGTGGCTACACCGGCACTTCACCGCAGCAAAGCTGAGGTTTGGAAGCCACATGATGCCACTCTGAAGATCATGCCATCACAACTGTGGCTGAACCTGCAATTTTTCAAACCTGGGCCACCATAAGAAAAATCCTGAACCGGTCTAGGCCACCGAGCCATTCCTGCGAGCAGTCCTCAGAATAAGCCCTGGCGCAGCTTGGGATTTGAAAGGCTGGACAGGTTGAACTATTTTCATCTAGGCCTATCCCACGCTTTGGGGGGGTTGGGCAGGTCTATTTCATCTTCGGGTACTACACGACAAAGCACCAAACGTTGTTGAATGCTGCTGTCCGTCATGCGTGGTCCAATCCTTCCAGAATCTGACCCCAAAGAATTGTGGCACCTGCGGCCCATCGGCCCAGTACTTGGCACCTGTGGCCCATCTTTTCCAGCTCAGAACCCACACCTTGCGCAAACCAGCCCACCGACTCCGCTTGCTTCCGGGCCGCAGCTCAGCACCGAACCCGCGGCCACGCCGTGATCTCCTCCCACCGGACCGACCGGAACACCGTGACCGTCCGTACCTCAGGACTTGCAGCCACACGCTCTTGGGCACGTTCCCAGAGGGTGCTTCCCGATGTGTGGCAAAGCGGCCGCCACGCGGGTCATCTCCTGCCGCGGTGCGTGGCGGGTCAGAACAAGATGGAGGAAGAAGGAAAAAAGCCGTTGGAATGGTTGACCGAATCTGGGTAGTAGTGGCCTTGGAGATCCTTCGAGAGTTTGGGAACTTGCTTGTCATCGTTAGTATAGATTAATTCCCTCCTTAAGCAAGATATTGATATTAATCATTACTCTCCCTGGAACTAACATGGAAGTGGAAAACCACCTGTTTGTATAGTGGAAAGTGTATGTCATAATCATTATCCCTATGTCCGAGTCCAGCATCGCACAGCTCGAGGTCGGTGGCGATTCGTTCGTTGCTCCTGCAACTTCGAGTCGTTGTACTCCTGAGCACATCGGGTGGAAGTTGGATGTTCCGAGTGGCTGCTTTCTCCTGGTGTACACTTCTTGGAAAACAAAAAATCAACAAAACCTAGCAACAGAAAATGGACATCCAACGGCGATGCCATCCACTTCCAGGGAGTCTATTTTCGGTCTAGCCCCAAGAGTGGCTCTTCCAGCAGCTAAGCCCCATGGGGTGACGATCTGGAGGCCTGGAAGCAATCGCAGAGTCGTTCAACGCTATATAGTCTCTAGCTGCATCTATGACAACTTACCATGGCATTGGAGATGGAGGAATGCTCTTTTGGCCAAAACCCACTAAAACAATGTTCCTATATACTAGCTATAAGTACTACATTACCGTACATCTGCACATACACGGTGCTTGCCCAGGGTTGGCTGTTCGACTCACCCTGCCCCGGTGCCCCTGGGTTCCAGCCCCTGAGGGCCCCCCACCGCGAGCACGTGCGCGTAGTGATCGCACACGCCTTGTCAGTTGCCTGTAGTGGGAATGGCAAGGTGAGGCTTCCAGTCAACGCTGCTTTGAAGGTCGAGGACGCAGATACCCTGCTAGGTAGATCCACATGTCCTCTGGAGCCGCTGGTGAACTACTACAAGTGGTCGAGTAATTAACTAAATGGGTCCAATGGAAGGGAACAAAGCTGTGCAAGCAGTTGTCTGCAGTTCCTGCATGTATGCGGCACAAACATCATGCGGCATCAACCTTCAACTCGGCATCATGCGGCACAAACACGTGTAGGTGCATCTTTTTCACGTGCATCTCCGCGCGTTTGCTATAGATCTTACTGCTAGCTCCACCCGACCTCGAAACCGTGCGAACTCCACTCGCAGACCCGCCGAGGCGCTGGTCCAAATGGACGTGGATCACGAGCGGGGCCAGATCCTTGACCCAGCTGAAGACCACGTGCAACTCGTAGTCACCTCACTTCGCGAAATAGATCTGGCTGGGCCGGGCTGTGCTGAAAGCTGAGGCTGCTGGATGTTCAGCATGTGAAAGAAGAAGAAGACTTGGGGAAAAGAACAGCGCGTGGTTCAAGCCTAGGAAAAGCACCAAACACCCATGAAAACCTCCGAACCTTTGCTGGTTGAGTTCCCAAATTGTTTTTCTTTGGTCGGCAATCTAGGGAATCAGGGAATACTGAGCAGCGGCCATATCACACTGAACTTCCAGTTTTGAGAACCTAGCAGCGCACCAGTGTCTAGTATTGTGGGCGCATTTACATATAATATATATATATATGAATATATCAGTGATTTGCTTGTCATAGTAGACATCTGGACGACCAATGTTTGACATCTTTTGGTGAATTGGGTGGATCCCGAGCATTATATATTTAAAACAAACTTCCATACCCTTAAGTGTCATAGCATGGGTTCATCCCACAATTGAGACTGTTGCACCAAAACCTTCATCTCAACCGGTAGAGTCAGGGTGACGTGGATTCCGCGAATTTGACGAAGGTGAGACGAGTCGAGAGTCTCCGGGTGCGAGTCGACAGTCTGCTTGCACCTGGTAAAGGGAATTCCCCACATGAGGGGCTGCTGCCGGCTGCAAACAACTTTACAATTCGGGAGTGTTTCTTTTAAGAATTGGTGTGCCAAGATTCATGTAATCGGCCAGGAGAACCTTTTTCATTTGACAAATATATTAACTATGAGGTTGAAAGCTACTTCAGCCATCCCAGCGAGGCAAGGTATCGGTTTCAGCGGATCACTCCACCAGGTTCAGTCCTATAAACCACATCAGTCCTGATGTGTGAACACCTAGAGCCCTGGTCAACCATGCAGCGAGTTCGACCAACACCAGCCAACATCATCAAAATCTGAAGGAGCTGCCAAGATGCGATAAGGATTTCACCAAGGATTTGACCCTGCCATTTTTAGTCCACGACCATCACGACACGACCACGATATGCCCAGAGCCCAAATCAGCCCAAGATGCCATAGCCCATGCCTTCAAATCGACCTTTCAGGTCTTCGAGGGCATTCCTGAAAGAGGTAGGAGCAAAGGGCATCGCTACGAACGGGGCTCCTGGCCTTACTACGAGGAACAAAGGACGCTACGAACATAACAGGTGCACAGCAGGGGGCCCAAAGACATCTTCAGATAAGGTCGTAACTGCCGTAACTCCATTGATCGAAAACCCAAAGAAACAGCGCCGCATCCATCGAGCCGCTGGCATGGTCTCTGTCGCAAATACAACCCTACAACAGTGGATCTGGTCCTATTGTGCCTGGGATATGAAGCAAGGTTTCCTGCAATATATACGTAGGATTACGTTACCGTTAGTTACGACTCACAAGCAGCTGGAGTGCTGAAGATCCTCAGTTTGACCTGTCGATAGGAGTCAAGTGCTGGAAGCCCGGACTGATTCTGCTGAACTCTTCTCCTTCCTGCTCAACTCTCCAAGTTTCAATCCTCTGATAACTACCTTCGGCCACATTGCAAAAGCACTTGCCAGCACTGGCTGCAGTGGCAGCAGCAGCAGCACCAGCAGCAGCAAGCAGTGGCAGGAGCAGCAGCAGCAGCAGGAAGCAGCAGCAAGCAGTGGCAGGAGCAGCAGCAGTAGAAGCAGCAGCAGCAGCAGCAGTAGAAGCAGCAGCAAGCAGCAGCAGCAGCAGCAAGCAGCAGCAAGCAGTGGCGGGAGCAGGAGCAGGAGGAGCAGGAGGAGCAGGAGCAGCAGGAGCAGCAGGAGCAGGAGCAGCAGGAGCAGGAGCGGCAGGAGCAGCAGGAGCACCAGCAGCAGCAGCAGCAGCAACCAGCGCAACAAGCAGCAGCAATAGCAGCACTAGCAGCAACCAGCAGCAAGTAGCAACCAGCACCAGGGACAGCAGCAAGCAACAAGCAACAAGCAGCACAGCAGCAAGCAGTACAGCAAGGAGCAAGCAGTACACCAAGCAGCAAGCAGTAATTACAGCAAGCAGCAGCCAGCAATAGACCACAGATTGCAATAGACCACAGTGGGTAAGCCGGATAAGCCAGATCACTCCCAAATTCTCAGCGGCGCAGGGTGGAGTCGAGATGGGGGGGGCCCCCTAACATTTAAAACCTAACTTAAAACCATCGAAATCAGGAGCAGGAGCACTCCACCACCCCCAAAATCATATTGCTAAAGCAAAGAGAACTCAGGTAGCCAAGGCTACCTTTCATTATTTTTGGGATGAAGTCCCGCGGCGCCGGAACTGAGCTTCCCGACAGCCTTCTCAAAGCCGAGAGCTCGAGCTCCAACTGGAAAATAGTGTGTGTGTGCGCACCCTTCCATTGTGAGTTTGTGTAACTTGACCCTGATGCGCTGTATGACCTACAGCGGATGCCACCAGTCGGTCAAACGCCAAACGCCTAGAACTTTCGTAGGGTGCAAAGTTTAGGCCCGATTTCCTCAAATGCGCTGGCTGCTCCAGATCCCGAATCCGCCGGAAACCAAGGCACCGTTGAAGGCCAGATGCGCCGGGAACCTCAGAGTCGAATGGCGGCAGAAGGCCACTCTTGGCGTGCAAGATCCACATACAAATAAGGACGAAGAAAAAAGGATACAACTTCGTGTCAGGATGAGGGAGAACCATCTTTCCAACCCCAAAGATCTACATCCAAATCTTCGCCACCCGAGACATCCTTGACCGCTCGCACATCGTTCGAATCTACTGTGTGGTCCGATTGTACTTAACGATCACCAAGCGACTCTCATGTCGAGGGCCTCGGGGCTCGAATGTCTATTTGGGGCTCATGAAGTGTGATTTGATGTTGATTTGTGAACACAGGACACAGGTGAAAAGTCATGCGCCGGCAGTTCGAAAGGGACGCCTATTGGAGGATAGAGGTGCCCATGATCCACTCACTTGAGGACCAGAAACCACCCCTTTGTGACTCCTGGTGAAGGCCCTTGGCTTTTGCAGTGTTTTGGGTGACCGATGGTTACTGCTGATTCCCCACAGTACGACAACATGAGGCTTCTCCCGGCCTTGTGGATCCCTGGGTTTCCCGGACGCAATGGCCCGGTAGACATTGCTACCTCGTCTATGAGTTCATCAATACAAAAGCCAAGCTGTTCATTGCCTGCAAAGAACCTAATAGCAATGGCAACGGCCTCCACCCTAAGAGCGATGGCCTCCAACCTAAGAACGATGGCCTTTTTATATTCTAACTGCATGTGGTCTCCGGCCTCCCCCATGCTTTATGTAAAACCATCTTCCAACTGCATATAGAGGAAAACAAGAAAAACAAATTCTAACTGTTAGCCCACCATAGTAGTATAGTATAGACGTTTGCGAATTTGTGAGATTGTAAGGCTGGACAAATGTATCGTCGCCAAACCTGCAAAATTTAAGGAGAGATTCTGGAAGTTTGTTGGTCTACCCCTTTACGTTTCTAGATTTTGCTGGTAGACATCATGTTTTAGAAGGTGGACCAGCATAAATATGGTGAGATGGAGGAAAGCACTGCGGAATGTAGATGGGGAGAGCTTGATTTGGACAGACGATGGACACGAAGACAGAGATCCAGTATGAACAATTCAGCGAAAACAACGCACATAAGGGCCAAGCGATGGAAGCAACAATATAAAGCAATCACACCTTGACAGCTAGTGGTGGGCAAATGGTAGGAAAAGATGCACTACGAAAGAAAGAGTCATTGCCATGGGCGGGGCATGTTTTATTCTGTGCACCGACCACAGATTCTTCCGCCTAGTAGAAAGCAAGCTCAAAGGGCACAGTACACGAAGCGAATGCGCGGCGCACAGCATTAGGGCATAGGGCATCGGGCTAGGACCAGGTCCCGTTCACTGGGGACAAGTGCCCCCAGCGTGAAAGGGTAAACTGGGTCCACGCGATGTCACGCGATACCTACAGTGTTTGCGTGAGGTGGAAAAACATGGCATTCGCTTGCCGAAAGAGGTCACCGGCTGGCTCCTTCTTCGACGCATCGGACTGTCGCAGGAGCAGAAACAGCTCGTGCAATCACAGTGCGGCCCCGCCTTGGAGGAAGACAAACTTGAACAGGCCATGTACTACCTGTATGGCCAAGACTATCGTGGACGTGTTGGCTATGCGCACCTCCAACGACCAACTGGCCGTGGTAAGGGCAACAGCCGCTGGAACAAACCTCAAACGGCATACACTGCCTATGACTACCAGGAGAACTATGATGACACCCTTGAGGAGCTCTACGACGCAGCTGACTATGAACTCGAGCTTCAAGAGGGTGATGAAGAGTATGAAGGCGCCTACTATGAGGAAGAGGGCATCGATGATGAACAGGCCTTCACCAATCAGGAGGATGACCTTCCTGACATGGACGACCCGGAGTGGGAGGAGTGCTACGCCACCTACTTGGACGCCAGACGGCGTTTTGCTGAGTTGAAAACCAACCGTGGCTTCTGCCCGGTCCTCGCCCTCACGGACACCAATGCAGCCCACGGCACTGGCCCCCAGAGACCCTATCCACCAAAGTCCAAAGGAAAGGGTTCAAAGTCCAAGAACAGATCCCCTCCACCACAAAAGGGTGACGCCAAGAGCAGAGGCAAGGCAGCCACTGCCACCATGGGCTCACCAAAGGCAGAACATGCCTACGTTGTGGACAGCCTGGACACTATGCAGCGCAATGCCCCCAGACTGCAAAACGCAGCCCACCATCCTCGACCACCAGTTCTTCAAAGAAGACAAAGAGTGAGTCCACCATGATGATGTCCATCGAAATGAAGGACATCAACTCGCAGCCAACTGGCTTGTTTGGCACCCTGGATGGAGGAGCAAGTTGCATGGTGCTTGGACATGACACACTCACGCACTACATCGAGCACTACCACAAGCTTGGCTACCAGACCGACCACTACCTCTTCCAGCCGACCTCAAAGAGACTGCAGTTCGGCGGAGATCGAACCTTGGAAGCTCAGTGGACAGTTCACATGCCAGTATGTGTTGAAGGCAACTATGGTCGAGCGCAGACCTATGTGGTTCCGGGCGCCACGCCCTTGCTGATCGGTCGGCCTATTCTCAAGGCCTTGAAGATCCACTTGAATTACATCGACGACACCGTGAAGGTCGCAGATGGTGAGTGGAAGCCCATTGTCATGGGCGCTCGAAAGGAGCATCTTCTGAGGTTGGATGACGATCTCACCTCCGAGAAGCTTGCAGGTCCCTACGACTTCGACTATGTCTTGGAGGAGACCTACAACACTTGGACACAGCGACAAGACAGCACACCGACAGCACCTGAGCCATACAACCTTTGGCACTACATCGAACACACAGGTCTGACCACCAGACCTCCAACAGGAGGAAGCTTTGCACGGCAATCAACTGACAGACCAACAGGAGACAACAAGCGACAGCAATGAGACAACAGATCCCTCCGACATGGATGATGATGACACAACACGTGCACTGACCGACAAACTGGTCCGCACCTTGAGGCTACATCAACAGCAACAAGCCCTTCACAGAAAGGCAGTCACTGATGAGGTCCTCGCTGTACACGACTCCAGACAGATGCAATTCTGGGAGATCTACTCTGGCAATGCCAATTTGGCAACAGCCATGGCCAAGAAAGGATACAAGGTCAAGACCTTTGACATCCTGAGCGGTTGGGATTTCACCAAACCTGGATCGCACCTCCGTGCACCAAGTGGTCGCCGATGCAGCGACTGAACATCAAGACGGAGGCTGACAAGGAACGACGAAGCACAACAAGAACATGAGGAAGGAACACACCTCCGATTCAAGCAGAACCGCATCTCATTCTTCGAAAACCCCAGGTATGCGCAGTCCTGGGATACACATACACTCCAACAACTTGAAGGCCATGATGCCCACATCGACCAGTGAATATGGTGCCACCATGCCAGATCACGAGGGCTCATGGCCGCCTGTGTTTTGACCAGAGAGCAATCCGACAACCTCATACAAGCCATTGAGCGCGGTTGGACACGATTCTTTGGTCCACCTGCCATCCTCCAACTTGATGACCATAGAGGTTGGGCTTCCGATGCTCTCCGAACCTGGGCAAGTGACCATGGAACTGAACTTGAGATCGACCCTGGCCAAGCACATACCAGATTGAGTGTAGTTGAGAGACGACACCAAGTCTTGAGGCGAGGCATTGAACTTTTCCTAGCACAACAGCCCGAGGACAACATGTCCGTTCCAGACCAGATTGCCCGCTCTCTTTGCTA